ACACACACACACACACACACACACACACACACACACACACACACACACACACACACACACACACACACACACACACACAGAAGAATTTCATTGGATGCGAAATGCAATTTAAATTTGACTGTAGAAAATAAGCTACGAACGGACCCATCACAGCCCGTAAATAGGTTGAATTAACTAAGTTTCTTAAAACACAAGTATCTGGCGTTGATCACGTTGTGGTCGTGTAAATAACACTAGCGTCGGTAAAAGTGGATCGAAGAATAGCGAAGGCAAACCGTCACGGTAGATTTTATTAGCGATTATCCTAAACAACAAGTAATATGGCAATAAGTAGGGTAAAAAGCAAATGAATGCAAAAATAGAGCCCTTATCACTATTGGGCATTTTGAATTGTGTTCCAGCAAAACCAGTATAGTAAAACAAAGGGTTAGATGGAAATCACATGACCAGCGCAACAAATACTGTACACTTTTTTCTTCCAATCGTGCATGCAAACGGCAGTAAGTAGAGTACACTGTGAATGTTAAACAGGAAATGTACGCATCAAATACAGTCGCTTACCACTATTGGGCATTTTGAATAGTGTTCCAACAGAACCATTGTGGTAAAACAAGGACTTATACTGAACTAACATCGATAAAAATACTTTTAAACCCTTAAAAGCCACTTACGTTCTACCAGAATATGGTGGATCACCGCTAGGAAGACAGTGTAACCTAGACGTCGGAATTTAAATCCCACAGGCCAGCACTTGATCATTTTCCGAGATTCCAGGCATAATTGGTCCAACACTTGTAGAACACTTGACATCAAGTGTGCCAGTAAATCGCTCGACAGGTAACGACAACAAAAATACAATTTCATAATACGGAGTACCGAAAAAGATTGACCAAATGACGAAAAAATAACGAGCAAAATCTAGAGTAATACTGCTTCTTATTTTGATCTGAGTAGGCTGTTTGCCTAAAAAAATGTGTTTTGACGTTTAAATGTAATCGAAATCAAGTAGTTTTACTTAATTGTAAAAAGACCGCGAGCTTTGAACGATGTTCCAAAATCGATCAAGTCCACTCACATTAAAACAACTTGAGAAGAGAAATTCAAGTTCGATAGCTCTCATTAATTAGATTAATGCAGTTCGGATAGTAACCGATGACTCAGAATAACGTGGAAGTTGCTTAAGCACTCAAGGTAATCATTGCGAGGTCAGGATGTTTATGAGACGCAAACTGATTGGGTGGTGTGAAGCGCCCTGTATCGATGTCAGTGTATTTGGGTTACCGTTAAAAACGATCTACAATGTTTTCTGGGGCGATGACTGTACCGCGAACGGCACAAGGAATCGGTTCTTTACGACTTATCACATTACCAATACAGCCGTTGTCAAGAGGCGTTTAACACAGAGATGACGAATATACATTTCCTGCAGTGTTCCAGAAAGCGCAGTTTTTTCAGAAAGTGTGTGCATGTAGGTGTGTTGCGGATCAAAAACAGCCGTCCAACCAGCTTCCCCCAAGGCTTCACCTGCAGGCCACACTTTGTTCCTTGTAAAAAACGTCGAGATCGCTGACGCCAAAAAACCATCGGCTGGTAGGCGTAAACACACACACGTACATTCTGCGACTTCTTCAGCAAAAGCAGCAGCATTGAAAGAAGTTAAACGTTGGAGCGGCGAAAGAGGGAACACAGGAGCCCACCTAACGCGCGGCCAGGTTGTTCCTCATTTTACAGATCGCGCACAATCGGTGGTCAGGAAGGCCAGGGTGGTTTTGTCCAGCCTCTAGTCAGGATGAGAGTGTTCAACACAATGTTAGAAGGGGACTTTTCCAAGTAGTACAAACTTGGAGAAGTTAATCGCGGGTGATTGCTGGCAGTACCTGTCCATGTCTCGCATTGATTTCGGGAAGAGTCTGGCGTAGGTCCAGCCGATGACTGGGTTGGCGGTCGTGAATCCGCATGCGTCACCACAGCTGGTTTTGAGGGCATTTAACCCTATTAAGGAAATCGATAGGCGCAAGATTTTAATGAAGCTCTAGTTATCAGACGTTGGGAACTGTGAAATTTGAAACCACCCTCGAAGAATAGTAAAGCACAGTTAGTGTTAAGGAGGACCAAAATCCACCTTGGCTGATTACGGACAGTTGTGAATTTGGCACACAGTTTTAACCGACACAAGACAGATCCAAGTCGTCTATTTTGCACCTGATTGGTTGGTTTGGTAAGGAAATACATTAGTGTACTTATCAGGTGTCTTGGCCAATGCTTCGACTAGAGTTTAAGCCAATTGGATGGTTCTTCGTGTTTATTTAAAACAGAGCCCACAATCTCAAGTTATTCAAAGGATTTCACTTAAAATAGTGAATTTCGTGAATAAGTATCGATTTGGGATTGCCATGGTTGCAATTTAGTCAATTTTAAACAAATTAAGCTGTTATCGCTTATAATCGCCTCATCATAATTAAAATTCAAATATAGAAACATCAACTAATAGTCCGTTATTTGTGAATATCGATCTTTGCAGTCCAACATTAATGGAAGCGTATTCCCAAGTTGTAGAATCTTCATGACTTTTCATTGGTTTCCCTAATATTTATGAAAAAATTTGCAATATTTTCGTGGAAATAGACTAATAGAAATTTCAAAAGTGGTTAAATTTGTGTAGTGTAAACTGCTGTTTGTTTTAGTTTAGTGTGTGCATAGCAAATAGATGCCTAAATTTATTTTATTTTCAGCATTATTCGTTGCGCAACCGCGAAAATGAAGTCAGCTTTGTCGTCATTTTTTTTAACTGGAAATTTTGAAAGTTTATTATTTGTTTTTCCGAAGGCAACTTCCTTTACTTGAAAGGTTGGGCAGATGGCGTTGACTCTACTTGGTAACAAGAAGAAATCATCTGCTACTAGAAGTAAACACGGATTACTTTGTCTAGACCGATTCGGAATTACCTCATTTGTAGACGCCACTTATGGAACGATGAGATTTTATTAACTTTAAAACACTACACAAGCTTCGTGAGATAGACTGCTGTGGACTTTCAAAACGAGAACTATCTGCAACTCATAGTGACACATGCCATTTAAAGCATCAGTATAAAGACCATGTATCTTTTAAAAATGAAAAGGATTTCGACAGCTCAGATCAACTATGACCTTTATGCACACATTTCCGATTCGTGTCATATTACGAAGCTCGTAAAACACTACTATTATGCGAGAAAGTAAATCGGCAAGGCAATTTAAGAAAGAAAGATTTACGGAGCATTGTCAAAGTAAGTAGTCGCAAAATATGTTTAGCTTTTTATATTTATTTCGCCATGTACTTTAACAAATAATAATCACTGTTTAGTATGAATTCTAAATTATCAGGTATCAGCAATAAATCTCATAAGCAGTAAATATGAAATTATGGGTAAGGTTAAATTTTATCATTAAAATTCTTATTACAAAATTTGGATAATTGGATATTTCAAAATTGATAGATTTCAAGACACTTTTCTCTAACGGCTAGTACATGAACGTTTTTCAACAATCCAAATGATAAAACTTTTTTTTAGAAAAGGCATGTATTTCCTATTCATCTTTCCAAAGACGACTTTATTTGGATTTTTATTAGGACATTTATTTGCCTTTCCAATTACGTGTTGTCTGGTCAGTCATGTGTACTGCAGCATGCCAAGAATTGTAAAAATTTATTTAAGCTCTAGGTCATAAATACTATATATTTCTAGGTGTTTTTTTAAAAAGATATTCAAATGCAGACTTTTTGTGAACAGGAATGAATGAGCATAATTTGAACGAATTTCAAGGTTGAGGTAAAACAAAGGTTTTGAGCTTTCATTGGCTGTGGATTGGTGTTTTGCCGAGCAAAATGTCATCTGAGGACCAACGTGATGTTCTTGTGGACTTTAATGGGAAAGCAATCAAAGTTGACAACGAAGCTGACGCTGGGTGTATCGTAAAAGCACTTAAAGCTAAACCACTAATGACTTCCTTTCGTTTGTCTGGTAATACTGTCGGTGTGGAAGGAGCTGGCGCCATCGGCTCACAGTTAACCACGAATAAATACCTACAGAAGTGTATTTTCAGCGACATGTTTACAGGTATAACATGATTTTAACGTTCTATGCTGCAAGGTCGTATGGTTGATGAAATCGCTCCTGCTTTGACGCATATTTCCTTGGGCATCATGTCCTCTGGCGCCCAGCTTACTGAACTTGACTTGAGTGATAATGCCTTTGGCCCAAGAGGTGTTGTGGGCGTTACTAAACTTCTAAGCAGTCCTGCTTGCTTTACATTAAAGGTACTATTGTGTTGAGTATACAATCTTGTAGATCTTACGCATGAACAACCAAGGCCTTGGTCACCAGGGCGCACGTTATTTGGCTGAGTCGCTCTCAAAGGGCCTAGAATCAAGCAAAGGGCTGGGTCCAAAGCTAAAGCACTTTTCGGCCGGTCGTAACCGGCTTGAAAATGTTGGAGCGTGTCTGCTGGCTGACGTGTTTTCACAGATGGGGTCATTAGAAGAGGTGCACATTTATGTGATTCTTTTTTTGCCTTGAGATTCAGTGTTTTAACCTTATTTTGGCTTGTAGCTGCACCTCTATCAAAATGGAATAGGAATTCACGGTATTGAGGGAGTCAAAGCGCTAGCTTCTGCTATTTCCAAGAACCCACAAATGCGTGTTCTTAATCTTTCTGACAACTCTCTTAAGGAGGATGGCGGTATTGAGATATCAAAAATTTTACACTCAATTCCTCACCTCAAGGTTAGTTATCAGAGTATCTAAACCCAATTCACTTGTTTTATTGTATGTAACCACAAAAGTGAAACTTGTTTGTTTGTTTGTTTCGTGTTTTGTTTTTTGACCGTCAATTGTGTGTTGTAGATATAACTTCAACTTGGCTTATAATCTTGTTACAGTATCTCTTCTCGCATTGCAATATACAGTGTCTTTCGCGTTTTAATTTGCTTTTCATCAAGTCTGTTAGTGAATCCTGTGCTACCGGTCGTATTCTCGGCATTGTATTAGGTAGTGTCATGCTTAATTCCCCAAAGCCTTGTTTGTGGAAAGCTTCAAATGGTATTTGACTGTTTTACTCTTGCAATCATTTGTAAAACATTTCAGATCTTCATTGATCTATTTAGTCGAACGAAATGGTCTTCTTTTCAGTCAGTTGCATTTCATAACTGTTAGAATTTATGTGTAAGTCTATGAAGCAACAATCATACTCCACTCACGCTAAGATTACGTAATCCACTGCCTGCCTTTATTTTAATTTTCGCGTTTTCTGTGAAGGAGCTCATTCTAGACGATTGCCTCATACGTTCCCGTGGTTGTCGCGTTCTTGCGCGTAGCCTTGAGTGCGACAAAGTGGTGCCCGAACTCAACCACCTAAGCCTCTACGGCAACGAGATTCGACGAGACGCCGGTGTATCGCTGGCTCTCAGCCTTGCTAGCAAGTCCCACCTCACCAAACTCTCGCTCAACGCCAATGAATTCGGTCCCGAGGGTGTCGAGCGTATCCTAAGTGCTCTGGAGTCCATCAGCCTGCTTCCTGCGCTCGAAGCAGGCGTTCTGTCGAAGACCGAGGCGGAAGACGATGTCGACGACGACGAACTGGACCCTTTCCACCGAGCTTTCAATGAAGATCAGGGCAGCGAAGACGAAGACGCCGACGAGGATGAGGATTATGATGACGATGAGGTTCAATACGACGACGATGAATACGAAAGAGACGAAGAGGATTATGGCGAGGAGTATGAGGGGGAGAGCGAGGCCGATCAAGAGAACTCACCGGTTCCCGTCAAGAGTGACCCCGCCCCGCCAAGCAGACCCTCAGGTTGGTATCACAGCTCCCAAGACCTAACACATGCCTTTACACCACCAACCAACTCACTCAGGTGTAGAGCCTTCTTTACATCTGTTGTAATTCAGTGACTGGTTTCATATGTTGGCGTGGAAAGTCGTGGTGTCATCTTCGAGGCAAGTAATTGCCTCACCGACCTCAATCTCATTCAGTAACCCCCCTCAGATCAGTTCAAAACGGGCTGCTTTGCTCGATGGTTAGGAACTATTACCCATGTTGGTCAGTCAAGAATTGTCATTACTTGTCGTCATTCGAGATAAATACACGTGCAATTGGGAAGTAGGAAGATTGGCGGCAGATTCACCACCAGACAAACTCTTGTAACTGAGTATTTTGAAAGGGCGTGAGTAGTCCTCATTGTTGCCTTTTATATCAACAGTCTTTAATGTGAAATGGAGTTATTGAATTGCCATCAGTACAGTGTTATGCCAGTCTGACCGTCGGAGGAGTTGTGACAGTTTCGTGTTCCCCCGCCCCCCGTTGTTAGGCGACACATTGATTAAAGCATCAGGCGGCAGTACCGGCACCGGTGGATTCAGCTTCCTCTCCTGCCTCTCCGAGCTTCAGAAGAGCGCCCAGTCGAAGTCGAATTTGTTTTCGGTTTTGAATTCGTCGGACACGGCGACGTCTGGTGGCGGCGGCAGTAGGCTCTTCGCCAGCCAATCGGCCACACCCAAGCTCGGCGGGCTGTTTGCTCCGCCCAAGCTGAACGTCGCGTCCACCCACGCCTCCCCGGGTGGTCTCGGCCTCTCGGGTCTCTTTTCCACGCCGCCGCCGCCGCCGCAGCAGAAGTCTTTCAACGACGCCGCCTCCCTCGAAGCCCTTAAGGCGGCCTTGGCAGACACCGAAAACGACGATTTGCTGGCGTCACTGGTTGGTGAGTTCTGTCTGGAGTGTTTGCGTTAGATCCATTTGGCGAGGTGGTAGAACAACCACTGAAAATGCCAAAAATGAGGCACGAGGCTACGACGCATAATCAACGGTCACATCGTGCTGGTTAGGTTAAGGGGAACCAGTGTAAAAGTGTTCAAGTCGTTTGTTTGGAATGTGCTTCTACTCTCAGAGTAAACTATGAACTTCTGTCTGCGCGACTTTGACTTTTTGGGTTTAGTTATTGATAATCCACACGACAATTTGACTGCGTTTCGCCATTTAAAGCGCCTCAAGTACGCTTTCAAAACCAGGTACGTAGGGTTCTCCATCCGGAAAAGAGATTGACACACCAATCATTGGCAGTAGGTGAGAATTTAGTCGGATTACGCTACCCACGAAGATGAAGACGCGATGGCGTTGTCTCGCACCGATCAAATATTTTTTGAGCCAACACCAACTACTAGCTACTTGTTAGTAGTTGTTTTGTGTAGGAAGTTAAAAAAACTAGTTTGAACGTATCTTTGAAGAGAAACCAAATAGATTCTGCAGAGGAATGAATCAAAGGCTCTTAAGACATTGGGAGACGGTTGTGGAAAAGATGAAGGACGTGGCATTAGGTGATAGGTGTTATTTCTAGTACAAATATGCTGCAGTTAATTTGGTTCCAAATCAGGCAATGGATTACTTTTCGATTCCTCACAGACACTACTGATCTTGTGACGATGCTAACCCCACACAATAACGCCTGTTTAAACAGGAAACGCGAAGTGTGCGTTGTAGGTTGTTTAATGACAGGGTCAGCTAACTCATTTGTTGGTTGAAAAACAAATCTAGGTGTTGTGGGTGAGAATTACAAAACGCCACGAAGATCGAGATGAAATTAGCGTTTCCTCGTTGTGGAAGATAAGTCACATTTCAGTCATCGTCAAACATATTGATTCGCACGTTCACAAGAATTTGTATATTTTACCTGATTTTCTTGTTTGTAAACACATCTCGTAGCTAAATGTTAAAAATGCCTATCAACCGAAAGTGGTATTCACCCACCTAGTTTACTCTAGTTTGTCTGTTCCGCATTGTCAACAAAGAGTTGAAGGAAACAAAGATCTGGACATGGAATTCGTCTTCGTAACGGCGTATCAATTTGACGCACCAATCACGGCCCGTAGGTGAGAATTTAGTCGGATTACGCTACCCGCTAAGATGAAGATGCGATGGCGTTGTCTCGCACCGATTGATGCTTAGCGAAGGTTCCCTATCTCATCAAAGGAAATATTGTTTTTGAACCAACACCACCTACTAACTACTTGCTAGTAGTTGGTTTTGGTCACTTGCGAAACCTTTGACAAGTAAATCACAGAAACCATTTGTTTGTAGATAAAATTGCTGTGCGGCCGGCCGCCACCCAAGGGTCGCTCAAACCGGAGGACGTGTCGTCCGCCACGCCAGAAACCATTGTCCGATTGGCCTTCCGCCTCGCTCAAAGGTCCCCCGCTTGCCGTGACTTCGCCTCCGACCTCCTCTTTGCTGCGTGCACCCGTTCAACCGACTCGAGGGCGTCTTTGGTGTCGGCGTCGGGGCGCGCCGTGAACCGGATCCTCGTGCACCTCGGCGCCATCAAGCCCGACCGGAGCGACGCCGTGGAGCGAAGGGCCGCCGCGGACGTCCAACACGACCTGCCGGACAACGTCCGCCTCGTCTCCGCCCTCCTCAGGCGCCACGGACACGAGCTGAGCGCCGACGTGAGGGCGTCGCTTGCTCTGCTCATCTCTGAGCACCGCCACGACAACAGCGCCTTCGAGGGGCTGTTGGACGCGTTGGAAGGGAAGATGTCGGCTCTCTCGGTGTCGTAGTTATTCACTCCTCAATCTGTACAAATCGTTGTTTTCGTCTATCGGTGAAAATAAACCACGAGATTTGAGGTCTTGTCTTGTTGCTTGTGGTCGCTTGCGACATTTTTTCCTTCCAGTGTTTGGCGCATTGATAAAAGCTTCACTGTAGTGTAGGTCTTGATGTCCTTTTTCATTGGCTAATAGACTGTGGCTAAATGGGCGGAAGAACGGTATTTATTCAAAACTCTCATGCCTATCAATGTGTTTGTCTCTTCAACTAGAATAAGCCTAACATGCACCCAATTCCAAATTTTCTTCAGATTCTTATCGAGAATGTCAAAACTTGAAAACTTAGATCGAAACGTGTTCGTCACTAGTACTAAGGCTTGTTAAGATGACTTGCAACTCCATTTCCGGTCCAGATTACATATTGTCTACTGAAATGGGTATTAGTAGTAGCGATATTTCACAATTTCGTTATCTCGAGAGTGGTTGATTTCACGGGGAGCTTAGTTAGCTGTATGTTGTTGAGGGTACATCCCAAAATACAGCCGTACCAGCGTCCAATCTAGCGTTTTTGTTTTTCCCTAATTTTCAGCCTTTCATTTCCTAATGCGCAGACTCTTCTCACCGCGCACCCTCAAGTCCCTCCTCGTCACCTCAGCAGCATTCACTGCAGGGTGTCTGACAACCGGTCTAGTGCTCTCCGACAAGCGCCTTTTTGCCACTGTCCAAGGCTCAACAGTGGTACCCAAAATAGCCCCTAGCGACATCACCGATTTCACCTCAACAGCCCCCGTTTTTGCTCCTCACGGGCCTCTCCCCGATCCGGTGGTGCAGGTTGGGTTGCCCGGGGCCGAACCAGTGAAAATTTTGCCCGGTTTTCTGTGTCTGTATGATAGACGAACCAGGACACCTCGGTGGACGTTGGAGCTTATTACGAATGAACAAATTACTCCTACTGACAAGATGTCAGTAGACAGGTAATCTTCCTATTTCCGACTTGGAGGGGATTACCGGTTCGTTGCGCAATGACACGTCATTGCGATCCGCTCGACGTGAACGCCTGTGTATGCACATTTTTCAGGTCAAAATTCGATTTCTTCGAGGACCTGGGTGAACCGCCGGAATTTCGAAGCACCAATGCCGACTACTTCAATAGTGGCTTCGATCGGGGTCACATGGCAGCCGCCGGGAACAACAAATTTAACCCCAATTCAATGCAAAAGACCTTTGTGCTCAGCAACATCGCTCCACAGGTTAAATAACTGCTACTTATTTCTTATCAGTATTTTATTCAACACAGACGGGACCAAAATGTCGATGAGCACGCTGTGGAGTGAGAATTGATTTTATTCAATTCTTTAGGTCGGAGTCGGTTTCAATCGCGGAATATGGAACGACTTGGAGAAGTACGTCCGTGCAATAGCCAGGAAGTCTGCCAACGTAGTTGTCGTTACTGGACCCCTCTTCCTCCCGGGGTAATACAACATTCTTTGTGGCTTCTTCATTGTGACATTCCTACTTATTGACTGGTGCGTATTGTGTGTGTGTGTGTGTGAATTCTAGAAAAAGCCTCTCAGACAGGGGTCATCGGCAGGTTGCCTACGAGGTGATTGGCCAGAACAACGTGGCCGTTCCGACCCACTTTTTCAAGGCTGTTGCTGTCCAGGCGGCGCCACGCGGACCCTGGAAGACGTATGCGTGGGTCATGCCGAACCAGGCGATGCCCGAGGGCACGCGTGTCAACAGTTTTGCCGTTCCACTGAAGGACGTTGAACGAGCCGCTGGTCTGCTCATTTTCCCCAACCTCTACAAGTCCTGATTAGGCGGTTCTTTCACAAAACCAGACCACAAATATTTATTGCTACTGTAATTCTTTAAGTACCTTTCTTTTTTCGAAACTAAATTAGGTGCTCTGTCAATTTTGTAACGTAATAAATTTGTGTATGAAGACACATGGCTGGCTGTTTTGCACTGAGTGGATAACCAATTTGCTCTTGATCTGTTCTAATTTGCGCAGATCTCAAAGTAATTTTGCTTAGGCTAGCTTACACAGAGACGTATTTTCAAATATCGGAGTTAGGCTATCGATTGATTTTAGCGATTAACAGGAACTAGTGCTTTGTAAAGGCGGTCATGAAAACGTAGCACTTTTAGGGAATTCAACGATCCATCACTCGGGTGACTGCTCATGTGGATTTTAGCAAATTGAGTCGATGTTAGCTACCACAGTCGAATCAATGGCAACTATCAAATGATTCCTGGTAGCTACGTGATTGAGGTTTAATAGACAACTACTTTTCTGCGTTGCTTGTCAGTAAATCGCACATTTCTGAGGTCTGGGTCCCTATGATAGACGGGCCTTAGAGCTTATTACGAATGAACAAATTACTTCTACTGAAAAAAATGTCAGTAGACAGGTAATGTTTCTATTTCTCTACCACTCCCCGTTGTGGAAAAATGTTGAAAAAACGGCTGCTTCAACGATTTACACAACTTGAAGTGCGAACGTCGTGCCTTTTTATGGGAATGAACCGATTGACGCGTATAAAAACCTATACTGTAGTTGATACAAATACAATATATATTCTTTGGTGGAGGGGGGGGAAAGTTTTTTAAAGTTCAACGAAGTGCGTTTCTCCCTCGTGATGTCCACTCTTCCGCAACTCCGCCAGCTGCTTGTGGTAATCGGGGTTGAAGGCTTCGCACTCCTCCAGGTGGTAGGGGTCGAAGCCACCGGCGCCCTCTCTGTCGAAGACACTCCAATTGCACTTGATAACGAGGATGTTGAAGATGACAATCAGCACGACCAGAACAGCCCACTGAAATGAAGCAAGTCACAGGTTTGTGCATTAGCATCTGTGCGCTAAGGAGGGTTGAGGGTTAGCGTCTGAGCTAGCCCACGCACACACACCTCAATGATGATGGTGAAGAAGGAGGTCTCTGACAGAGCAGCCCAGTCTGGACCACTCAGGAGGTCGATGGCCCAGCGGATGATGAAGACGGCGCCCAGGACGGGCACCACGAGGATCACGAGGATGGTCCAGATGAAGTACACGTGGATGTCACCGATTCCGTACTCGTTGATGATCACACGTCGGAAGCGTTCGCAGCCGTAGTACATCGGGATGACGCAGTAGAGGACGCCGGAGATGATCAGACCGAAGCCCCAGGTGAAGTCCTGGTTGGTGAGGATGTTGATGTTCATCGCCGACGGCAAGCCCAGCAGGAATGTGCTCAAAATGGCGATCGCACAGGCCACGTAATGAGCCACTGAAAGTTGAATTGCCACAAAGGTGTTAAGGAACCATCCGGAGTTAGTGTGACCCGCTCGTATGCACTCATCACTTACGTCCGCAGTTCTTGAGGGTAACCAAGGTGAGCTGAAGGTTGGAGATTTGCGTGGTGAGACCGGCGAACGACAGGCAGATGAAGAAGAGGCCACAGAGCACGCGACCAGCCACGCCCATGGTCTGGTAGAGCACGGGAATCCACGTGAATGTGAGGCCTGTCGAACCGGGTCCACTTTCTTGCATGAGATTCTTGATCGCGGTTATGGTGAGAGTCGGTCGTGTGGTGATCATTGTCGCGAAAACCGTCGAGAAGATGGAAATTCCGCTAATCAAACTACAAGCACACAAGGCAGAGTAAAGCGGTCGTAGATTGCCTCTTGATGGCACGTAGCACAGCCGATTGGCGAAACTCACCTGACCATGTTATTGATGATCGGCAAGGTGATGGCGTAGGTGACTGATTTGTCAGTTCGTTTGAAGAACCCAGCGTAGACAGCGTAGTGGCCAAGACCGGCACCGGTGTCGAAGGCGTTCTGGATGAAGGCGTCTATCCACAACCGCGGTTGAGCGATCGAATCTGCACGGGGGAACGACGGATTGTTCACTCAACGAAGAACAAATTACAGCATGGCATTAAACGCAGAAATCAGCTTACACCAAGCAGGACTGAATAGGTACTGGATGCCGATGTCTGCGTAGGGAAGAGAGAGAGCCCATCCCAGAGTGACAATGAGGATTATGGCAAGGATGGTAACCAGCGTGGAATTAACCCATTCAATCCACGAGAGACCACCAACGACACAGACGGAGGCGAGGAAGAGTGAAAGGAAGTGGCAGAGCACAGGGTAGCTGGTCTTCTGTGTGAAGGTGTCGAAGATCTCGATGCTTAGCGTCTCGTTGGAGGGCAGTTCTGCGGCAGCGCAGACGTAGTACACGTAGTAGAAGCACCAACCAACGATTACATTGTAGTAGGTACTATAAAACACCGAATAAGTGCAAGTTAGTACTCTACATAACGTCGACCAATCAGAAACTCGATTCAAAGAAGTTCAATAAGGTTTGATTAAATTTGAGTAAATTAAAAATCAATGAAGACACGCGGGAAGCAATTTACCTGATCAAGTAGCAAATCATAATTGTCCACGTGCCCAAACCAAGAAGTTTGGTACCGAGGAATTTTCCGAAGGTGAGGAGTGGACCTGTTTTCGTAAACCGACCGATGGTGAACTCGATGATGATGATGGGAATGGACCATAGGAAAAGTGAAATCATCCAAACCAATAGGAATGCAGCTGAGCCCTCGCTGTAGCTGTTTTGGGCCACAATACGCGGGAAACGCCAGATGTTGCCAGAGCCGATGACGGAGCCAACGCAGGAGAAGAAGATACCGAAGGACGTGGAGAAGCCCTCTCCCTGAACCTCGATTTCATCCAATGGTGCAACTTCTGTCTCTATCTCCGACTCCTCTTCTTTGTCTGATGGGGAAATTATCTGAAAAGAGGGCCAACCTAAGTCCAGCTGTGTTGGGGATTGAGTTAGGAAAACCAAGAAATCACCGCGTCAAACTAACCGATTTCTCCCCACCTTCCTCGTCGTGATCCTCATCCGGTGGCAGTTGAACTTCATTCATGACGGGCTTATTGGTGCAGCCGTACATGGTGTATTTGTACAACCATTTAATTACCGGCGTGGTTGCGTACCACGCGGTTGATTTAGGCTCAAACTTATCCTGGGGCGAAACATAGTCGGATTCACCGTGCTCAAGATCCGCCATTTTGAAAAAAATGGCCTCCTGTCTCAAAGTCCAATGCCTCAACCCTCCCACCCTAGTCGGTTTAAATATGATGAAGGACTTGTGTTGACAGGAATGTGATTGGTTGCGTTGAGCTCCACTCTCGCGTCGTTACGCGAACAATTTGGCGAGGCGAACACACCAATACGATGTTGAGGGTACGGGGGCATGAGTTTAGACCAGGGCCAAGGTCTGCGCAAGGCCGCCACTTCATTAAGTGCGGTGCAACGCCTCAAATGGTTCCTTCTGCCAGGCCCTCAGCTCTGCACTAGTGGAATTCTGAAGAGATTTTCACGCGTGCGTATCCAAACGCTGCGGGAATCTTTCACGTTGGCAGCACAAACTGACACCTGACAAATAATGAACTGGTTTCGGGACAAAATTGGACAATTTTTGTCTGCTGCGCAAAAACTCTTGTACTTCAAAATGGCACACGTTTATAGAAAAAAAGTGTTATTTCGCCATTCTGAACAAACTGGGACAGCGTTGTCTCAAAGCGACGAATCTGCCTGAACTTGCGTTTATTTGCAATGTTTTTGGCGTTGTGTGATTAAAGGTGAACCTATCGCGGTTTTTTTAATCATCAAAATTTAAGAAAATCTCTGGAAGCCAACTAAATTTTCCTAACATAAATTTTATTGAAAAAGTGGAATCTTTTAACGATATATCATTAAGGTATTATAATTATCTCTTCAACCATAAAAAAACATTGCAAAAACGGAAAAAACGCCAAATTTTAAGGCAACATTTGACACCTCATGAGTCCTTTTCGACGATTCGATTCTTTGATGGCGTGATGCAATAGTTGGGTGACACAAGCCCCACTGGGCTTGTTGATTAATGTCCTCGCAGTGGTCTTTTGCCTCATTAAACTTCAATGGAATGCCTTTGTGTGTAGTGTGTGACGCTTGAATAAATTAAAACAACAACTGCCGGACCACTGACACATTTGAGGACTTTCAGTGAAGAAAAGTTGCAAAACGCCGCCTCTTGGAGCGGGGGGAAATGGGGCGATGCGTAAGTCAAAATCAGTACTTATTGAAATACAAATTATCGTCATGAAATTAATAGGCTCGTGTTGGGTGCAAAGAACGCACCGTGCACCAGCAATCACTTAATGGTTCATGCCACTTCAAATTCACTGGTGTGAATGCAAGTAGAAAACTACAAGACGTTGTGTAGAAAAGGGCAACATCAATGAGGTTTGCCACAAGTCAACAAACAAACACGGTTGCTGTGGTTTGGCAGGCAGGCAATTAAACACCCTTTGGCAAGAATAGCGGTTGTTTGTTTATTGATGCTGACTCGCCTAGACGTGACTATCACAAGATTGATTTCATCGTTTAGTTAGGAGGGTTCGTAAACCAGGGATTTTCAACAGTCAGCGTGATTCATTGTTAGTGATCTCCGAAACAAACCATAGCCTACACCAGATACTCCGGATATGACTTCGAAAACACGCAAAATTTACCAACAGCACATAAGTGAGACTGGACTGCAGCATGTGTTGTTAACACTACAAGTGCATTAAACTAGCCTAACACATTGACAACACAACTATCATAACGCCGTGAACGCACGTGTAACGTCAAGTGTTGTCAAGGTACCATGTCAGTTGGCCAGTAAATCGGCCTGTAGATCAATGCCTAGACCTTTTCACGAGTCATTGAATCCTGCCAATAAGTATTTCAGTTATTTGCAGTTCGTGTGATTGTGCTCAATCTGTATTAACAACCAGCTTGCCAATTCGACGACTTTAATTGGTTAATCCTTCTGTGAAGGTCTTCGGTAGATGTCTTTGCTGTAATTTTAGCAAGGCGTCAAACGACAACTGCCAAAGTAGCACAAACTTAGACAACGTCACTCACTTGACTTAAAGGTGTCCTTCTCAGTAGACCTAGAAAATTCACACGTCAAAGGGTGTGTCTAAGCACTAACTCCTGCTCTAAGCAAGTTGAAGATGCCATTGGGAAAGTTTTAGGCACCTATTTACACCTTGTTCACTGAAAACTAGTCAAAGCGACTTAAAAGATGAACCCACCAAGTTTACTGTGCTTTGAGTACGAATGATCTATCACGAATGTTTAGCTAGACTACACAGGATTAAAGCTAACATTTAATCACTCATTTCAGTGATATGTGTGTTAAATACAATTTGTAGTCTGACATACGAGAATAATGTAGAAACTATTCTTATCACCATTCAATATTGATTATGAGCATTGAATTGAAAGTGTAGGCATCATTCATCTGTCATAATTGCGTTTGTAATGGTAAAAGAAACATTAACACGCTTTTGCAAAGCTAAATCCTGTGTTTGAGTTTCACGCCAAATAAAAACTACAATACCTGCTGCTTTTGTTCGAATCTTTTTTCAAATACAAGAAAATTCGAGAGTTTCTCAGTCAAAATCTTTCCAATTAATCATTTCACTTCAAAATTCACCCCGTAAATTCAAAAAAAGCATTTGTTTGCAACATGACACCAAAATTCTCGGAAATAAGTGTGTTCATCCCCTAATTGAAGATCGGTTTTTTTGAAGGAGGTCCAAGAAAACAAAACTTGTACCAATGGGAGTCACAGACGCCAAACATAAGTTTAAAGATTATCGATTACATTTCAGGGATTGATAAAAGACGTGTCGATTGCTGTGCGCCCTAAAGGAGTTTTTTGACTGGTCCATTTATAATTTATGGAATTGGAGGACAATATTGAACAGAGAAATTGAGTGCCACCTTTATGATTCAGACTAGCAAGATAATGCAACGCACAAAAACACATTACACATATTATCGAAGTGCATTAATGGACAATGTTATTATTAGGTGAATAACTTAATTTTCAGAGATATATTTCTTCGAGCTTAAAACTATATTCACAAAAGGAGTATTTTCGCGGTCTTTTGTGGTTTTGAAAGGATCGCACGCAAGGTTTCAGAACACCGAACGACAAGTCCACGTGGGTTACGTTACCTCTCAGAATACCTGAGTTTGCGACGATGGCAACTGACAAACAACACGTTCGATGGCGCTGTATTTTATACGATTTCCAATAACGACAGAACGCTGCTTCTAAAGCACGGGAAGGAATCGATTTGTAATGTTCTTGGTGGCAACGTTGTGGCCTCTGTGAAGCGTGTAGTTATCGGTACAGACGTTTTCGAAGTGGTGATTTCCATCTTAGTGACCAGCCGCGCACCGTAGCGCAGCCTCGAGACTGCAAGCTCTGCTGGTTGAAGACTCAACGGAAAAGCAATAAGTGATTGCAGCTCAGTTTGGAATAACCCAAACAGCCGTTTTCAGGCATTTGCACCACCAAATGGGAAAAATTCATGCCTTAATCGAACACAAACTGGGTAAAAAAATGCTTTTTTGTGGATTATTGTGGCTGTTGATGAGAAGCATATTTGCCGTTACAAGAATC